TACCTACAGTTCCTGTTTGTAAGGTGAAGTACACTTATATGCTAATTTTTTTTCAACTCAACTGTCCAACGGTTTTTCAAAATTGTTTTAAATATTATTTTAATATACAACTATACTTAGATTTAAATCCATATATTTTGTTTTAGTGCATTGCTCCTTGCTCCATAGAGTGTTACTATTTAAATTGTTTAATAATATTTTACATTTTATAACTATTTTGTTATGGTTCACAATCCCTCAGAGAGTGTTACTATTTAACTTGATAATTATTATATTGTTATAACAGCTACCGTGAAGGGGCTACCATTTTATTGAATAAATATTGTTATTTTGGATGTTGAGATGTTTTGTTTGATTTAACCACTGATTTTTTCAGAGTATATTCTTAGTATATTTTATTATAATTTAGTGTGATTAACAAGAGAACAACCCCCCCATTAGAAAAGTCTCATTTTTCGTCTACCTTGACTTAGTCGGTGCGTATAACGGATTTTTTGGTAAATTTTTTATTACTTTTAACATCGTTAACTTTTACCGTTATACAACAAATAAGCACGCCTTCGTCGCCAATAGACTACCAAATCAAATGTATTTAAAATGACTAAATGACTAAATTAAAAAATCACTTATTTTTGTTTTTAACAAAGTCATATATTTATAATATATGTTTAAATTTAAGAATATTAATTGTTTACGTCTGCTGACTAGGCAATCCAGTTTACCTCGGACGGGATTATACATTATACCAGGACTTCTCTTTTAATTGTTGTACTGAATACATTGTTAAAAAATAAATTAGTTAAAAAGTGTAACTGTTTTAATTTAACTAAATAAGAACTCAAAACTGGCGCTGTGAAATAGGATTCTCATCAACGAAAATCATTAGAATTTTTGGTTTGTTTCTACAATTTATGGTGAAACCGGACTCATCAACAACAAAGAAGAAAGTCACCCGTCTTCAACCTGCCAAAGGACCCATTGAAGATTCATTGGACAACTTCGAAATCTCCTGAATTTCGTCCTTTCGTCCCCCGAGCTAATTGGAGATGAACAACGCATTAAAATTAATCAAGTAAGTCGTTCAGTAGTTCCTTTTGCATCGCTTTTATTATTTCCTAGTTTTATTTTCATTTATTTTAAAGTATTATTTTTTGCCTCTATTAATTATATGCCAACAAATCTAAACAAAATTTCGGTTTCGGAATTAAGTGATCCAGAAATGGAACTTATTATATTATTAGAAAATACTACTATAACTAATCTCCAAATTAAAATAAATATGACAGATCCAGAAATTCCTAAAATAACTGATAAGCAACTTGAAAAATTTTGTAAAGTTATACCTATTTATGGCGATGGTGAGGCATCTCTCAGTGATTTCATAATTTCTGTGGAAAAAATTATTGATTTTTTTCAAGGCACTTTTGCAATGTGCTCAAACATTCAATTGCATTTATTTAACATCTATGTTTTAAGCAAAATTCGCGGACCACTAAAATCATTTATAACAGCCAATAAACTCGACAATTTTATTTCAAATTCTTTTCAAACTTAACAAAAAATTCGTACCGACCTTTTAAAAAAATTTGGTGAGCGTCGCGACGATTCAAATCTACATTAGAACGTGAACTAACAACATACAAAAAAAATGCATTCAAAATTTTAATGAAAATTATACCGATTATTATTTGCGCCTGAACAAGAAATTAAATGAACTTATCAATCTTGTTTCCATTCAAAACAGCGATGCAAATATCGTTAAAATAAAAACAGAACTTTTTCAGCAAAAAGCACTGTTGGCGTATAAAGTTGGTCTTTCACAACCCTACCGCTATTTGTTAAAATACAGCAATTATAAATCACTAGAAGAATGTCCTTCGCGATGTTCTGAGCTCGAAAACAAAGAATCTTTTGGTAGAGCTATACGCAACACCAAATCTGATAAAAGCAAAACACCCCAATTAGATTAAAATTCTCCATCACCAAGAACATTTTAATCAAGTCAGTCACCCCGAACCACAACGATCAAATTTTAATAACACAAAACCCTTTGGTAATTTTAACAAATATTTTCCTCTTAAATCGCAACCAATACATAAAAAAATTTTCGGCCCATCTACAAGCAAAAATTTGCCAAATACACGAAAATTTGGGGAAAATGTTTATTTAATTAATCCGTATTCGAGTCCACATAAAAATAACGAATTAAGCAAGTTAAAATTTAAATTTATGATTAATCGGTTTTTAAATAAAGATTATTTCTCGGCACTTATGTTTTTTGAGAGTTAAGTTTGGCAACATTTTCGATTCGCCTACGCATTTCTTCGGCGCTCATTTGTCACTAGTTCAGCCTATTCGAGAGCATATTAATATGTATTAATATTCCATTCTGTTTTTGAGATATAGTCAATTTAATATTAAATGAAAAATTGACTATATCTCAAAAACTGTTCTACTTTTTTTAACTTTTAACTCAGGGGACAATTTTACATAAGAATTGGCTGTTAAATTTTGAGATACCGTGGTAACCCATGGTTAACCATGGTACAAGTGAAAAAGCAGCCACTAATAACTATTAAATTAGTCATTTTTGACTAATTCATTTTTAGAGAGTAGGTCATTTAATACAATGCATCATTAGGCATATGATTAAAATAACGATAAGGAAACATCCGTTTTTAAAAAATAAATTATTTGAGTTCCAGATTGAGAGTTCTTGGATAATCTCTGTCTACCTATCTGTAGACACGGTAACTCAATAAATGGATCCATAAGGGATCGTACACTTTTTTGCGGCTACGATTGCCTTTTTGAGGGATAGCCCACAAATCTTTTATTTATATGTTTTTGTGGTATTTGTTGAATTTCCTTCACTTTGGTACCTTACAATCCATATTTTGTGCACCCGTCCTAAACCGAAGAATCCCGTTTTTCTTAAATAATTTCTCAGAATAAGACTCGGGATAAGATAATTGAGTTCACGAATAAGACTCGCCAAGTTTCAATGACTGTAAAAAAAGTGTTCAAATATTGATGCCTGGAACACTTTGAAAGAGAAGTTTTCACGAATTGCATTTGCAGTAAAGTATGGTGAGCGGAATTAAGTATGCTGTATAATGCGATGCTTTTGTGAAACATCACACAAAATTTTGAGGGATCCCAAAAAAGAAAATCGGAGGGTGTATGGGAACTTCTACAAGCATCTAATGACACACTTAAAGCAATCTGATGCCACACCTATACAATACCAATACTGCAAGCGAGACTGCAAGGAAAAACTAAATCAACTTGGACAAAATCTAATTTTCTTCAACAAAACCCGAGACAAAACCTATCAACTGAAACAAAAGATAGGGAAGTTTTAAATATCCTCACTAGAGATGATGAAGAGCTGCGTGAAAAGCCAAATGAGCCGGATAATATGATCTCCTGAAAAATCTTCAACAGTGACCTCTTCCAAAATATCCCCTTTTGAAGATAAAGTCTCGGATGAAGTGGAAAATGCACCCAAAATCAACATTGTATCGAACCAAGTTATTCGATGTCGAAGAAGAATATCATCGAACGAAAAGATGACATGGGAATGTTTTAGTCAATTTTGAGTCTACTTTACAAAAACCCCGCGATCAAGATGATACCAACTCACCAGGCCAACTTTTGCGCTGGTTGTTTAATTTGTCTGCCAAAAACTCCAGCCATTCAAAATATCGGAATACTTTTCATGACAGAATTAAATACTTTTCATTATATTTATTTTATGTAGGGGGGAGACTGCTATACGAAACGCTCTACGAAAATATGAAGAGCACTTTACCATCCATAAGCTGTTTAAATAAATTTGTTGCAAAAAATTCTTCTAACATAGAGGAAGGGTTTTTCGATTTTGATGGCCTTTATCAGTTTATGGAGCAAAGGAATTTACCTAAAGTTTTGTGGATTAGCGAGAACGCAACTAGAGTAACCAGTAAAATTAAGTATGATTCGAGGACTAATAAGTTAGTTGGATTCACAATGCCATTGGTTAGTGGAATACCGGCAAGAGACACGTTTTTAGCAACATCTGCAAAAGCAATACAGGACCAATTAAAAACGCTATCAGATCAAATTATGCCTATGTAATTACGGCCCAGCCTATATCACCAACCGCGCCAGGTGATTGTCTTGCAATCTTCGGCACAGATTTACAGCCGCTGATGTTACGAAAAGGTGCCAATATATAAAATTGAATTTTAAGGAGCGAGGTGTTATTGTATTGGTTATGGATCTGATGGAGATACACGTGTTCTGAAGGCAATGAGGCAAGGTGCTCAATTGTCTTCTACTAAAGATTCATCATGACCTGAATGGAGATGGTTTCAAGCAAATTACTCTACAGAAGAATGCGCTTCTTATGTTCAAGATACGGTACATATAGCCACCAAGTTACGTACTAGACTGCTTAATGATAAAATCAAGTAAGGTTTGGTGATTTTTATGCAACTGCTAAACAATTGGAACAACTGATTGCAGAGCAGTCCAAGGATAAACACTTGTTAACAAATTCTGATTTAAAATTAGAAGACAAGATGAATTTTAAAGCCCCAGAGAAATTATGTTCAAATAACGTTATTAATTTGTAAGAGAAGGCTCCACAGAATAAAGGCATTGTTGCTTTTTGAAATTGATGCGTTTAGTTATTGATTCGTTTTTAGATCCCAAAATAGATGTTACGCATCGAATTTATTTAATTTGGTATTGCGTTTTCTTTCTTAGAATTTGGCGCCAGTGGCTTACAAAAAACAAATAAAAAATCGGGAAGCATTTCATTTCATCAAACTGCTATGCTTGCGTAGAGTTAAATGTACATTTATTAATTAATATTGTCATAAACATCCGTGAAAATCCATCTCTGTCAACGCGAGAACTTGGCATGTCTATCGAAGAAAACAACTTGTATTATGCTGCAATTCCACCATTAAAAGACCTTGTAAAGGATGAAAGCGAGGATGAAAGTCTAGAAGATGAAGAGAATATACAGATTTCAGCTTAAACATTTTACTTCTCTACCAATAGAAAATGAAGAGATTAACGGCGATGACTTGGACAATCCAAATAGTCATTTGTTTAAGGATTTATGCAATATATCCAGTGTCGGAGTTATGAATAACTTAATTTTGAGAAGTTATGATCAGAGATTAATGGATAAAACAATTGAAGATGGTCCCTATGTCCGAGTCGCTGTTGGTAATAAATCGAAAATTTTTAGAAAGTCTTTGCTTTGTTGGTTGATAGAGAAAAGTAAAAATAGGGTTAGTACAGACAGACTACAACGTTTTCTTGTAAAAAGTACAGGAAGAACTCAAAAGACTAATGGTGGATTTATGCAGCAAAAATTAACATTAACATTATCACTAAGAAGTTAAATAAACGTAATGCAATGGAAGCTTTTATGCAACACATTAACATTAAGATTAAATTAAATTAAGAGTTGGCCAACTTTCAACTTCTTAATGATCATGTTAAATTTTAATCGCGCTGCGCATGTTCGGCGCAGTTTTTAAATATACCGCGGCAGTAATGCTAATATAATCGCAAATTAAAACGTAAATTCTTTTTCTATGGGTTTTGTTGTTATTTTCGATACTTCATTTGTTTTCTTTAAAAACTTCGTCACAGTGATTTTCGTATCAAGATGAGTTTAAGAGATGGTGAGCTCATTGAGCAAGTCGTTTTTCCTTTTTATACAATAAAAATGCTCCCAGTTTCAAAGATAAAATTGCACGGAAAAATGCGTGGAAGACCATTGGGTCAATTTTGGAAGTGCCTGGTAAGTACTAGTGTTTATAACGAGAAGCAAGTAAATTTAAATGAATATTTTGCTGTTGTAGCTGAAGAATGTGAACAGAGGTGGTCAGTTCTCAGGAATCGCTTTTGAACGGAACTAAGGAATATTAAAAACACCCCAAGCCACCAGCCAGTGGCCCTTATAAGGCTTTGTCCTACCTAATACCCTTTATAAGTAAAGGTTAGTTATTTTATTATTACACTTTTAAAACTTACATCATAAATAACTATTACAGAGCTAAGGAAAATGTAAAGAAATTAAAAAGCCCTGTCCATAATGTATGGAATACATTTTCTCAAATGTCCCAGATGTCCACAGAGGACACATCAATAGAGGGCACGTCCATAGGAAATGAAAGTTTATCAGAGTGTGTCGAGGAACCAGCTGCAGAGAGCCATCTTCAAGTCGCCAAGGTGGCAATCCCACCCGGTTGTCAGAATTGCGCGCTGACATCCGGGCCTGTAAGAGAAGGAAGGTGGGTGAAAGAAAAAATCAATGAAAATACAATATATAAAAAAATTAAAAAACATAATCGAAGAAGAAAGCCATGGATTACCCAAGATATTATAAATATAATAAATTCTAGAAAAAAACTGTACAAACAATATTACAAAACAAGGGACCCAGCAAAAAAGGCAGAATACAAAACGTATAGAAACATAGTAAACTCAGCTATAAAAAAGCAAAATTTTATTATTATAGTAATAAAGTACAAAAATGTAATAGTAACCAGAAATTATGGAAAACCATTAATGAATTTAAAAATAAACCTAATAAAATAATAATCAATGAAATTAAACAGGAGAATGAAATCATTACTAATAAAACAAAAATATGTAATATCTTTAACAAACACTATCTTGATATGGGAACTAAACTTTCTAAACAACTTAAAGTGAAAAACTATAAAGAAAATATTTTAGAAATTGCAAATTCATTTTTTTTAATGCCAACTTGTCCAAATGAAATAAAAAATACAATTGAAAAATTAAAAAACAAAAAATCAGTGGGTTATGATGAAATAAATACTAGTACAGTAAAAAATATAGCTGACTCAATTTCAGACTCCCTGTCTCAAGTTATAAACAAAATTTTTGATACAGGAACCTGCCCAAAAGCCTTTAAAACGTCACTTATTGTCCCAATACATAAAAAAGGTAACAGACTTGATCCTGTTAATTTTAGGCCAATCTCGCTTATAAGTACTTTTACCAAGATTTTTGAAAATATAGTAAAAAATAGACTGGAAGGCTTAATTAAATAAAAATAATATAATTTCAGACAGACAGTTCGGTTTTCAAAAAGGAAAATCAACCCAACATGCTATTGCTGATTTGGTGGCAAGAATATATGAAGCTGTTGACAAAAGTATTCCAGCGATAGCTGTTTTTCTAGATTTAGCAAAGGCTTTCGATACTGTCTGTCACAAGAAACTTTTGTAAAATTTGGAAAAACTTTGTATAAGGGAAAAAATGTTGAGCCTGATGAAAACCTACCTCGAGGACAGGATCCAGTTTGTCACCAAGCTTTGGGGTTCCACAAGGAACAATATTGGGCCCAATTTTGTTTGTGATTTATATTAATAACTTGTTTAGGCTTACAAACTATATTCTATTCAGCAACTACTTGGAGTCAACTAAAGGAAAATATAGAAGATGACTCTATAAAAATGGCTTGACAACGCCAAACTTACATTAAATTTGGAAAAAACTATGTATATATCTTTTGGCTCTTATAAGAATAGTCTTCCTAAGTATGATACCCTGGATTGTAAGTCTGATGAGGAAGTTTTAACAATAAAATCAGTATCCGCCACAAGATTTTTAGGGATATTTATAGATCAACACCTTAGATGGGATCTACAAATCCAACAAATTAATAAGAAAATAGATGTTTTATTCCTTATTTTAAGATTTTACAGGAGTTTCTTTCGATATAACAATTAAACATCATATACGATGCCTTGATAGAATCCCAACTAAGGTATGGTATAATAGGTTGGGGAGGTGTGAACGAAAATTATCTAAATGATTTGCATGTGACACAAAAGTACATCCTCAAAATAATACATACAAAAAACTACACCTATCCCTCAGATACAATTTGTCCAAAAAGATGGATTGTAGGCAGCTGTATTATTTGATGTTAATCCAACAGATCCATTCTCAAAAAAAAGAATACAAAGAAACAAAAACACGATACACATTAAATTTACCTATTCCAAGAGCAGCTAAGACAACTGGTAAGAGATGTTATACCTGCCTTGGACCTAAAATCAAGCAATTACCAAATAACATAAAATTTAAGAAAACAACTAAATTTGTTGGACAACAATTAAACAGAAAACTTGTTCATATGGAAATTGATCTAAAAAACCACCAATAAAAAAATATAAAAAAAATAAAAAAAACAAAAAATGAAAACCGATCATAATATGTATTGTCATTAAAATTTTATAAAATTTATAAAAATTTTGAACTGTTTATTTAAAGAACTTTTGGACAATACACTAATTTTCTTAATCTCTAAAATTATTGAACACTGTCTATATTTTATTTCTTATTAATTTTATCTTGTAATATTCTGTAAGTTAATTTAGTTACATTTAAGTACCTATAAGTTATTGTTTAGTGTATATAATTGTTTTTAATTTGTTTTGCACATACAAATAAACTTTTGTTTATTTAAGTGCTTCTTAGCATATTTATTGCCATTATTTTATTTATTTAATATATTAACATAATTTGTAAACAATATTATATTCTATCTTGAGCAATACATATTATTATTATTATTATTATTATTATAGAGATTTTAAATACTTTTGTTATGAGTCATTTCTAAGTGATTTAAATGCTATTAATTGGGACAACATAATTTACTTAAATGCTATAAATGATAAAATTATTTTTTTACATAATAATATTTCTGTGCTCCGTTTCAAACCTCGCGTATAACCAAACCTTACGCACCTTGATTAACTAACACCTTAAAGCAAATGATAAAGGATCGAGACAAGGCCTTGGGTGTGTATAAAAAGTCGAAAACATCTAATAATTGGATTAACTACACAAGTCTTCGTAATTAAGTGGTTAGTTCTTTAAGGCGAGAAAAGAAAGCATATTTGTCACTCTCTCAATGCAGTCAAAATAAAAAAGAACTATGGAATGCGGTTAATAACCTTAATATAAATTCCAAATCAAAGTTAATATTCCAGACAACTTAAATGTTCCAGACTCAATAAATAGTTACTTTGGTTATGTTTTTATGCCTTCAAACAATTGATCTCAAACTGCTAACTTATAATATAAGTCTTATATGCTAATTTAAAATTTAAAAATGATATTTGTTTTAACTTTAAACTTGCAACCGTTAATGAAATTAATAAAATTATATTAAATCTTAAGTCTAATTGTTCAGGGTATGACGGCATTAGCGCCAAAATGTTAAAATATTGCTCACCCATTTTAAGTAAATAAATCACGCATTTAGTAAACTGCTGTTTAGAAATAGATAACTTTCCAGAACAATGAAACAATGGAATTATTCCCTTGCCTAAAACAAACAATCCCTCTGCGTACTCTGATTTAAGATCCATTGCATTAATTCCTGTGCTTGCAAAAGTAACGGAAAAATTTATCCAGCCTCAAATTTACAATTACGTTATAAATAATAAAATTATTTCTGACTTTCAATCAGGTTTCAGAAAAGGCCATAATACAACCTCTGCATTACTAAATATATCTGACAATATTTTTTCTAGTTTGGATAAAGGCTTAGCCTCTGCATTAGTTCTTTTAGACTTTTCCAAAGCCTTCGATACCTTGGATCACCTTTTAATAATTGCCAAACTTAAATTCTATACCCAAACTCGTCTAATTTTTTTGAATCCTATTTAATAGGAAGATCTCAAAGAGTAAAAATAGATCAAAATTATTCAAACTCATGCTCTATAACATCTGGTCTGCCACAAGGTTCTGTTTTGGGTCCAATTTTATTTTTAATATACGTCGCTGACATGTTTGATAGTATAAAGTTTTCCAAGGTTCAAGGTTTTGCCGATGATACTCAGCTGCTTTACTCTTTTTCTCCAAAATATATCCAGCAAGCTTGCAATAACTTAAACTATGATTTAAATGCTATTTCTAAATATTCACATGAAAATAATCTTAAACTCAATCCCTTTAAGTGTAACCTGATTTGCTTTTCTTCAAAAATAAATAGAGATTTAATTAAAGCCAACCTAAAACTTTTTATAAACAGCTAGCCATTGCCGACTCAAAGTTGTGTAAAAAATTTAGGAATAATATTTGATGAAAACCTTAGATTTACCAACCACGTATCTCAACTAGTAAAAAAGTCATACAATATATTAAACTCAAATATCAGTATTATAAATTTTAAATTGCGTAAAAAATTATGCGAAACGCTAATATTGCCTATATTATCCTACTGTATTAGTTGTTATTTACCTCTTACTTACTTTAAATCGTCTACAAAAAATTCAAAACAATTGTTGTATGTTTATTTTTGGACTGAAAAGGTACGATCACATTTCTTCCAAAATGAAAGAGCTAGGTTGGTTAAAACTTGATAAGCAATACAATCTCTATCTTGCAGTATAGGTTTACAGAATTTTGTTATTAAATACTCCAAATTATTTAAGGGGAAAAACTTATATTTCGAAATGAATTACATAATGTCAACCTTAGGTGTGTTTGCAAATTGAATCTGCCTTATTTTAATTTTGCCATGTTTAAACGATCTTTTAGTTATAATGCAGTTGTTGTTTTTAATAATATAGATGACCAAATTAAACTTTTGTAGCTGTATCTTATTTGATTTTGTGTTGGGTTAAGTGGAGTAGCCTTAGCTAGACTTCGCCCAACAATTTATGTAAACTTATTTACTAAATAAAGACTTTTTATTATTATTATTATTATTATTATTAAGGACGTTCAAAATCTGCATCAGGACCCAGGCGAGGCAGAACTTAATCAAGAAGATTTTCAAAGCACACATAAAGTACTGACAAAAAGGTTTACTTGATGAAGTTCATAATGTCGATTATTTTTTGGAACAGTTGTTAGAATTACAGGATTCAGTCACCGAATTTCAGTGTTTCAACCTAAAGAAAATCAACACTTGGAGAACATAAATAAATGAAAACCAAGATGGGACCCCTCTAATTGGGGAATACCAAGTATTCGACAAGGGTATGCTCTCTAGGATAGAAGAACCTTCCAAGGAACCCAAAATCAATATTTTAAGAATTGATATTATAAATCCAACAAATGATGGTTTCATGAATAGTTCGCTAAATAATGAAGAAATAATTGAACCTGAACCAGCCGTTTTGAATGCACCTCGACAAAAACTTTTGGAAAAATCGTCAACAAATGACAGTGCCTTAATTGATTGCAATATAAATACGATGCGATCCTTTAGGTGAGGATTTTAAAAACTAATTAATATGCAGTATTTTAAATCATTTTGATTTAGATGTTCAAATAACTTCGGAAGAACTCTTAACAAATAAAAGTCCTTTGGGCAAGTCTTTGGGTAAGTGTTTTAAAAAATAATATACAGAATTTTAAATTATTTTGATTCAGATGTTTGTGAGCAGAAACTTTTAAGAAGTGACAGCTCCTTACATCATTTAAAGTTAGCTACAACTACTGAAAATGACTACGAACAAAAACTATTGAGAGAATTATTACAAGAGAAAAATATACCTAACCTACAACTAGATACAACCGAGGAAACAGCCATAAAAAAAAATATGAAAAAAAAAGAAATACTTAAAGAAATTACCCTTAATAACGCAGACGATAAGAATGACCAGCATAAAACAAATTCAGTCAAATGCAATGCCCTGCGAGAAGAAGAAAATGACAAACATTTGAAGTATCCAAAACCCATTTAAAAATCGAAAAACCGAGGTCTGGGCCAAACATCTGTGCAATATCCGCAGGAGCGTGGAGAAAATATTACATTGACAAAGAAAAGAAAAAAAAAGAAAAGGGAAACCAGCGAAAAAGAAAAAGAAAAGAGGCTTAGAAAATAAAAATTGAAAAAACCTAGAAGAAGAACAAATCGCCACCAAAAACCAAAGATATTAGTGAAACAAAACGAAAAACAAAGCCTCAACCAAAGAAAAAAAATGCAGTATCTGTGAAGAATTTTTGTACAGCGATGCTGAAGAGGAGATGGAGAAAAAACGTAGGATGCGATTCATGTGTGAGATGGTACCACTTGAATTGTACTTCGTTTACGGGCTGCTCATAGGATGAAATAAAAGACGAAAAATTTATCTGTGATTTTTGTTATGATTAAGTTTTACCAGAATATTGTTAAAGAGAATTAAGCCGCGTCCAGATTTGTACCACGTCGCGCCTGGTTCATATAGAGGCGACATGCGAATTTGCGAAATGCGAAAATGTTTTCATTGGTCCATTTGATTTGGAGGGAAAAGTGTTTCGACGTTTCGACAGATTCTGCGAATTCGCAAGATTTGAAATCTGGGGGGCGGGAATCTTGAGATTGATCGCGGAAATCGCACGAATTTGGCGTGATGCACATGCGCATTAATGCATATGCCTATTATACGTATTTGTTATATGTACCCACGCCATTTTTGTTTATGTTCTGGGTTTATTTCATTTGTATTGCATCGTTGTTGAGTTTTATTTAATCTGTTTCTTGCTAAAGTTGTTTTTTGTTCTTTATAATGGACAAAGAGTTTTTGGAGGTACATTAGTTTCTTATTTTACCTTATGGTAGCATATTTTTTTAGAAGTAACTTTACTATTTAAGTACCTACCTATATTTTTAGTTTGTTTCTCGGTCCATTGGATTGTGACGTCCACCAATGTAAGGCTACAAAAACTAGCAATACTTTAAATAATCCCGAAGTAGGAAATGAAGCCGAAGATATAAGGGAATCCAATGATGTGGTCCCCAAACTAATAGAGGCAGTTCAAGCTAGACCTGCCTTATGGGACCACACATTGCCCTTGAAATATAGAGGAAGGGATTTAAAAGAAAAGTTATGGAAAGAGGTCCATAAGGAAATTAATGGGGCTCTTCCATTGGAGTATTTGGACAAAAAGTGGAGAAATCTAAGAGATACTTTCTTAAGATATTCCAAGTAAGTTATATATTTTTTGGTTTAACTTTATTTAATGAGTGATAATTTAGGACACAATTAATTATATACCTATTAATTTTTTTTAGAAAATTGACACCATCCGGGCCAGGCCGGGATGATAAAAAAAAGTGGAAGTACTTTGACATTCTTTTCTTTTTGTCTGAAAAGAATGCTTCCAGACAAACCCATTCGAACATCCCAAATGAGTTATCATCCGAACCCGAGAACCAAATGGATTCTCCATCACCATCACCAGGGTGCTCCTCATGGAGTTCAATGGAGGCAACCCCATCTAGGAAAAGTTCAATTGAGGCAACCCCATCTACAAAAAGTTCAATGGAGGCAACCCCATCTAGGAAAAGAAAAATTGGTAAGTGTGATTATACAAGGAATGGGCTTTTATTTATTTTATTTATTATCTTCAGACCAAATTAATGAGCAATTGCTTAAGGCATTAGAGGTGCCACCAACACGACCACCAGCCCCTACAGCTTTTTCTCCGGCAATGATGACTGTACACTCTGTTTTGGAAAAACTCCCATCTAGAGTTAGGATGAAGGCTGAAATTGAAATTTTGAATAAAGTTTATTCGCTTTACGATGAATTTTGTAGCGAATAAAAAAACATATGTTGTATCATTATCACACCCACACGGCTTTTAGGAGGTTCAAATTTTTACTAATAAGTAAAGAAAAATCATTTTCAAATATAATTAGGTATATTACAATATAACTTTACACAGTACAGCTATTTTAACAAGTGTGTTAGGATGAAGGCTGAAATTGAAATTTTGAATAAAGTTTATTCGCTTTACGATGAATTTTGTAGCGAATAAAAAAACATATATTGTATCATTATCACACCCACAAGGCTTTTAGGAGGTTCAAATTTTTACTAATAAGTAAAGAAAAATCATTTTCAAATATAATTAGGTATATTACAATATAACTTTACACAGTACAGCTATTTTAACAAGTTTGATGCAATTGGACATTTATTAACAAAATAATCTGCTAATAAATTTCGCATAGCAATTGCTCCTTGAGAATATGCATTTCCTTCCATTCTTCCAAAATTAGGTAACCCATTACGAACTAAATTTCTCCATTCTTCCTCAATAAGTTCTCCTGTTTCGGTTTCCCTATCAAGAAAATTTGAAGGACAGTACTTGTTGCTATCATCCTTATGTAAGTCTGATTTTCTTAAAAAATTATGCAGACATACAAGTGCTCCCACCATTTTTTCAGTTGTTTCAATTTTTGCTATAATTGGCCTTTCTAAAATTCTCCATTTAGCAACAAGAATACCAAATGTGTTTTCAATTATTCGTCTTGCACGACTTAATCTGAAATATAAAAATGTTAATAAATTCATTCTACAAAATTTTCATATCATCCATACCGATAGTTAAAAATTCTTTTATCTTTTGGAAGAAACCTACCAGGGTATGGTCTCATTAAATTGACTCCAAAAGGAAATGCTGCATCAGCTACAAAACAGTATTCAATTGGGTCTTATCTACAAGTTTTCTTGGAGCATGTAGATTAATGGAATTTGAGTAAAATCGTTTTCCAAAATTGCTATTACGAAAAATTCCTCCATCAATGCCTTCATTTTGCTCCAATGTCAACAACTGTGAAGCAATAATTAGCATCACATACTGCTAACAATACCATGCTGAAGAAATCTTTGTAATTAAAGAAATCAGAACCAGTGTTTGGAGGTGCCTAAAAATGTAATGTGAAAAATACATATTAAAAACATGAATATTTTTTCACCTACTTGTATTCGTACACGTTTTAATTTTTTTCCAACTATCTTCTGTTGGATGTTTTATTTAATGCTTCCCAAATAGCTGAGCATGTATTTTTAATGGTGTTAGACACAGTACTTCTTCCTAACCGATAACTATACGAAATGCTTCTCATACTATCACCAGCTGCCAAATATCTGAAAGAAAAATATTGTAAAGCAAGAGAAGTTGCACTAATAGACATATTCTTTATCTATGAACTTACCTTAGTGTAGCTGACAACATTTCCCCTGGTGTTATCGGTTCACGGGAAATATATGTTTTACACAAAAAAGGTGAAGCCTTTTCCTTTAAATAATCAAAATCTTCAACGGACATTCTGTGGTAATTTCTAAATTTTTTTTTATCATTCAAACGTATTTCCTGAACTAAATTGTGGTATGCACCTTGTTGCTTTCTTAATTTAAATATTTCACAGGTTCCAATTGATCTGTTTCTATTTTTCTGTCTTTGTTTCAATAATAAATAAGCGGCAATTGTACGCCTTCGTCGCCAATGGTATAATTGCCAATGGTATAATTGCCAATGGTATAATTGCCAATGGTATAATTGTTCATCCATAATAAAAACACAAAATCTCAATTCACCTAAAAGTTTTATAATAAAACAAATAGAAAATGTTAACCAAGTATGGCAAATATCACCTGAGGAGAAAATAATGTCCCTAAAATACCATGGCAAATATCGCCTAGTGAGAAAACAATGTCCCTAAAATGGTTGCGAAATGCGAATATTCGTATTTCGCAAATTCGCATCTATATGAACTCCGCTTTATCTACCTACCTCTATAAAATATAGAAACGTTTTAATTTTAACGTAGATTTATAAAGATTTTGTGAAACTAACATTGTTGACAAGAAATAATACTATATTTGTCCTAAACTTAAGACATTTGAGAAAAATCTATTGTATTAAGGACGAACTGAAAATTGTTTAACAAGTTGTAATACCGGTACAGACGCGTCAGTGTACATTATATCACCGTCGTGTTCGCTCTTAAAACCATTGAGCATTTTTTTTAAGTTTTGTGGCTAGAAATGAGTGTTACAAACATTTTGAACTCTATTGGATTTGAAGACCTAAGCGACGTCTTTGAAGGTACGTAAAATATTAGTCTCTTTGCTATGCTGAAGTATGTGTTTGATTGCTGAATTTATTGTGCGCCATTTTTGCTTAATAGTTTTTTAAAGAAGCTTTTGTAAAATGTCTAATTTGGGTGAAGATAGGTATTATTTAAACAAGTTCATCACGCATGCTCCATGCACTGATGAAAATAAAAGTTATTTTACATAAAATACATAATAATTCATGTAAATTAACGATTAATAAATGTAAATCACAATTATTATGCTTAAAATCGTAACCTTATAAAACTACATTTTTTTACATTGTAAATTTAATATTTGTTTTGTGTTTAGGAAGCAGCAGAAATAGAAGAAACTGACAACGACAAAACGCGTTGGATAAAGGTTTTCGTCTAAACTCATTCCTTATAATTTAGGGAAAGTCGCAATTTGATTGTGAAGGTCAGTTCCGTGTTAACCGCTTTTGACTACCCATTCGAGTCAAAACATATTTATGTGTTACACCATAACACCAAATATTACTGATTGTTTAAATAGATTAAACAATTAATTATACATTTAGGTACAAGTAATTAAAAATTATTATTCTTTTTTTGTCAAAAGTTTTTTCATTTTAATAAAGAATATTTTTTAATTTTTAATTTTAATAAAGAATATTTTTTAATTTTTAACGTTCTTTTTTTAATTATAACTTTATTTTATTAAATATAACAAATTTATTAGGTACAAACTAGATTGTTTACCACAAATATCCTTTTATTTCCCTCAACAATTAAAAATCTATTAAGCATAAGTTGTTTTTCTGAAATAGCCTTTTATTTCCCTCAAACATAACAAATTTGTTCAGAACAAGGTGTTATATTTCGCCCAAAATACATGTAAGTTTGATTCAAACCGATATCAGTTGTGACTTTTTAATAATAGTGTAAAAAATTCAAACCAAGTATACATTCTGGACAAACTGTTATATATTCCGCCATATACAAAAGTGGTTTACATTTCCTGCAAAAGTAATACGTTTATATTAAATAAATTCTTTTTTCAGTGAATAAACTTACCTTCTCAACCTTAAAGCGAAACTCTCTCACCATAGTAGGCAATTACGACTGCATCGGTGCATATGCGCTTAACACCTCGATATTTGCATTTGGCGGCAAATAACCATATCTTGTGTTTTTTTTAACACTTTTAGACAGCCATCTTACTTATTAAAATCTGCCAATCGATCAAGATCCTTGTTTGAAGTTACCAAGGGTATAAAAAGGAGTAATTCTTTTTAAATAGTTCGCCGAGTTAATTTCTTGGTCTAGGTAAGTTGTTGTTTGCATGGTGTGGGGTTAGTGGAACAAATATGTTAATAATTTTGATTCCTAGATCGGTTTTGCTATATTGTAGACGTTTGTAGCGTGTAAAGTAGAATTGGGAGGTCTTACTTGGCAGTCCCATACAATAAAGCTAGGTGTTGTAGTGCATTGTATTTATTTATTTCTACACTTTTCGAATCCCCTTACACCCTGAGATCACCGGAGTAGGACACTCTTCGTGTTTCGGTACAACCTATATAAAGGCACTAACAATCAAAATTTATTTACAAAATCTTGTTCATGTGCACAAAAACACAATATTTTTATAAAAAAAAATGTCATTTGAACGCAACCGAGTTTGCACATAGGCATATTCCTGGATGCATATAGACCTTAAATTAATAAATATCACCGGTTTTTATTTATTTATTTATTCTAAGATTTTCAGTACAGAAACATGGTAAAAAATAAAATAGTATACAATACTCTACGAAAATTTCATTCCTGTTTTGAGATTTAGTTCACAGTTCTGTGTTTAGTTTATCTCGACACTTTCCGTCTCGTATAACAATAACAGTAACAGCCAAGTTATTATTAATATCGAAGTGGCAACGCTGTACATCGAGTGACAGATAATTTATAGAAATACGTTGATTGGCGGGATAGGTCATTTTGATGTCTTATAATGATGCAATAACAGAACCTTTATTGAACAATTAAGTTCTGTTGCTGTAATTTATGGCAACTTTTTTAGAACTTTATGCGATTTAACGTTTCATTTTGCCCAACTATACAATATTTGTAAACATAACCTCTAAAGTTATTTGAATTTCTTAATTGTGTGGCATTGTTTTGATAAATAAGTAAAAATGTATAAAATAGTCGAGACAATAGAAAGAGGTTCCAAGCAACTAACTGTAGTTCCCCAGGCTTGGAAGAAAGGAGGGGTGCTTTTTTGGCCCAAAATGAAGACGGAAAAACTTAATAAAATAGGAACCTCTATACCTAAAGATTCTTGGTTCCAAATGGGTTGTAAATTAAAAAGAAAAGAATTAGAAACATACGAAAGTGCCGAACTAGAATTATGTGCTATGCTTAATAAAGAGGATTCGACTGAGTCAGAGGAACAAGAGGTAGTCCCGCTAAAAAAACGGGCTAGAGTTATGCTGTCAAAGAAAAACACAGGATATGAATGTAATGAAATTTCTATGAAGGCTGTTTCCATGGTAAGTTTTTTTCCAGATATACAGTGCATATATGCATGGGATATATCCCATTTTATATTCCCATGTTTATCTTATAGGATTCAGAGCAACTAGCAACGACATACAATCCAGTACATCTCAGATAATATTTTAGTTGCCGATAGTTCTTCACAAAATATTATTTATTTAAATGCAGAGAAAATAAACGATAATTTTATGATAGAACAATCCTTCAGTTCAACTGCTACGAATGAAATATTACCAACCAATACTAGCACGTTAGATAATAAATTATCAAAAACCAATAAATAATTATAAATAACCAAAATACTATGAATGAATATTTGCAAAATCTTGGAACCACTGAAAGCCAATTAAAAATCTTGCAGCAATGATCGAAATAGGAGTCCAAAAAACATGCCCAAAATGAATCAAAAGAAAATAAAAATGAAACGAATGAAACTGATAAAAATAATATTGCTGAAGAAGCATTGTTAGATGAAGATAACGAGATGGAAGAGCAAAATAACTCCATATAAAAGTTAATTTATATTTCCATATATGCATATAAAAGCTAAATTAATTGTTTTATTTTATAGGAATGCGACCAATGGGCCAGTAGGTACATATATAGCTACGATGCCAAAGAAGAAAATATTGTTTTATTTTTACTTAATAAAGTTTATTTAGTTTTTATCAGTCTCGTCCCAGCTCTTGACTGAGTAAGTCGCTTGGCAGCGGAGTCAGAGATTAAACGTAAAACGTGTAACGTTACAAATAGTAACGCTACATGTATTATTAATAATAATTTAAAGTAAACACTGTATAAGTATAATGTGGTTTATTACGTTCTCACTGGTCCACACTGTATATTGTATTTTAAGCGGTAATTATTATTTAGTTTATTTCTTTATCTCTGCTAAGGGTTAATTTATTTTTAGTTTTTATGATAGCCGAGAAAGGTTTGATTTATTTTTAATTTACTGAGGTATTCACCTTATGATTTATTTTCTAAATACGTGTATCGCATAATTTCGGTTCAGTAATTGTAGATTTGTGTGTTTTGTTTGTACAATTTTAAAACGATCAGTACTAGGTCCATTTTTCGTTTTGTGTCGGCTAAAATATAGTTTTAGGTTAAAATAGTTTGTGTTAGGAATCCTAACTTAGTATAGACAAGGTGTCTTAGTAAATTAGGTTGTTTTTTAATAATTAAGGTTGCTTACTTGTATTTTATGTTTTCTTTTTGTCTTAAAGGCTTTTTGTTAAAAACTATTAAAGCGGCAAGGTCACAAACTTCAGATTCGATGTCATGAACTGTCACCGTTCATTTGTGGGTTTGTTCCGCAATCTTCGTTTTAGGGTTTTGGTGTTTTTTTATGGTTATCTGGTATTTCGTCTCTTTTTAAGTGCTTTGGCCTTTTTGACGTTATTTGATTGAATTCGCTATGTTATTTAAGTCTAGTGCTACTACAGTAAATTGTTATTTAGTACAGTGGTAACATTGGGTCGCGGCGTCGGCGCACTCAGGGTTCTAGATTGTGCGAGAGGTTTTTAGACTGGAGTGGGGAGGTTGACGGCGTCTTGGCCAATGTGCTTACTGAAGACGATCAGTGAAGTCTAAAGTAAATTTTATTACGATCTGTGAAGTAATTGGTTATTTGGAATAACTTATTCCGTACTATGAATACTGGTAGTTTTCGCACGTAGTAAAAATAGAAGTAGATGGCCTCTTTTTGGGTTTTTTAAAAAGTAGCATGGTGAGTTCAATCTAATAAATTTTCCATAATCCTTGATTATTTAAGTCATCCTATTTCTTAGATAGTTGCAAAGTAACATAACGAGGTTTGGACTGTTGATTCAGCCGCTGATGGTCATATTGTTTAGCATGTTTTATTGAGAAAACCGAATAAACTTCGTAAGTACATTTTATTTTGTTTGGAAGTAATATTCATTCGAATGATTTTCCAATTAGGGTTTTCCCACCGGGGCAAGTTTTCCCACAAGTTTTCTTGAATACATATTGTAGGACAGAAATTCTGTCACAGGATGAATCTGCGTAGCTGTTGGTTTCCTGCATCGTGGTATCTGCCTTCTTAGACACAAAGGTTGGTATAAATGCAAGTTCAAACCACTGAACGCGGGGACCCATGGTCATACGGATTTCACCCATGGTTGGACGGAATACATCGAGCTTGAACTAGGCATGTCAGAAATTTTTTATGAATATGGACGATAGGAGTCAACAGGTTTTAATGAACATTTATTTTTTTATGAGTAATAACCACATCACTACGAAGCAGTAAATTATGAAACATTAGTATATATTTTATTTTAACGTGTAAACCAATAGCTATTCGGTATAAATTTTGTTAATTTTTAAATAAGTATTATGATAGTATATCACAGTCAAAGTATAATGATAATAAATTAAAATATAAGTAAGTAACTAATTTTGGAGTTTAACTTTTAGTCCACAACCTTAGGTTATATACTACTCTTTAAAGTTGTGGTGGCGCCCAGGCCATAATACATATTGTAGGACATATTGTAGGACAGAAATTCTGTCACAGGATGAATCTGCGTAGCTGTTGGTTTCCTGCATCGTGGTATCTGCCTTCTTAGACACAATGGTTGGTATAAACGCAAGTTCAAACCACTGAACGCGGGGACCCATGGTCATACGGATTTCACCCATGGTTGGACGGAATACATCGAGCTTGAACTAGGCATGTCAGAAATTTTTTATGAATATGGACGATAGGAGTCAACAGGTTTTAATGAACATTTATTTTTTTATGAGTAATAACCACATCACTGCGAAGCAGTAAATTATGAAACATTAGTATATATTTTATTTTAACGTGTAAACCAATAGCTATTTGGTATAAATTTTGTTAATTTTTAAATAAGTATTATGATAGTATATCACAGTCAAAGTATAATGATAATAAATTAAAATATAAGTAACTAATTTTGGAGTTTAACTTTTAGTCCACAACCTTAGGTTATATAATACTCTTTAAAGTTGTGGTGGCGCCCAGGCCATAATGTAAGTATGAGGAATAGAAACCCACAGACCTATGCTCCCAGGCTCGAGAGCTGCCGGAGCATATAACCCCAAGTTGGTTATATAAAATTGGCGCCCAACGTGCTAATATTGGCGTTCACAGTTTCTCATACTTGTATTTTGGTTTTTTAATTTTTTTGATCTGTAAAATTTAACACTTGTAAAATTTTTCATAATTTACTCATTTTTTTAAGGGTTTACACACTCATAAATTATTCATTAAAAACCTGGTATGCTTATTATGTGGGAACTTGCTCTAAGAGTTGCTATTTTAAATTCTACACGCTTCTTTAGTTTCGGATTCGTTACGAAATAGGTGTTGCGATTTTTATGATATACAGTGTGTACCAGTGATTAGTACTTATGTTTTAATTTTGATATGCCAAGTAGGCATTTATTTTTAATGAGCATAGCTTACAAATTTTTGATTATTATATGCCAAATGTGCATTTTGTTTAGATTATTTTTAATTCTATGAATTTTTGAGTATAGAGATACTCGCTATTATACTTTTTTATTTTTATTATATATACTTATGCGTGTTTACCTTTGCAATTTTGATTTTGTGCGCGTGCGGACTTAACGTGGATCAGATCCGTACCGGTCAAATTTTAGGGTAAATTTTTTTTAAATTTTGTTTTGAATTATTTAGTAAACCAGACCAGTAGTTTTTATTTTGACTTGACTTTTGCAATATTGATCTAAATTTTCTTTGTAAATTTTCTATAATGGAGACAAAAATTATTGCCAAGCATCTTCGTGTGGAAGAATTGGATTATGAGGCACCATTACCAATAGAAACCATGACGATAAACGTAAAATTTTGGCTAGGTTGCTCAAAAAGGAGAAGGTTACTCCTTGTATTTTTGTAATTGATCATTTGGATCTTAATACTGAAAAGGTAGCTATTAATAAGACTTTAGACTCCATCAGTTAGTTTCCGATTTTCAAGGTAAAACATCTGATTCCTTATATACCGTTTTAATTTCAAGACTTAATCATGTTACCCAAAGAGTTCAAAGAATACCAATCCCTGTGGCCTTTAGTTGAATATAAGAATAAAGCTTATGCGACTTGCATGCATTTAGATGCAGAACTTTATGATAAAATCATTGAAGAAGATCAGACGATTATGACGAAATTATCTGGGAACAGATTAAGAGTAGACGTCAGGGTAAACATGAATCGATGGCTATTTTTTTCGCAGTGATGGAGACTCTTTTTAATAGGTTGACCAAAGAACCAGCCGAAATTACAAAGATAAAATACTTACGTAAAAATTTACTGCCTAATTATTTTAATCAACTCGTCTTGGTGGATACTCCCACTATACCCAGCTTGGGTAATTATTGTAGAAAATTAGAGGAGGCTGCTAAGCAATCTTTTGATAGAGACAGTCTCGATTCAGAATTAAAATATGTTGATAAATCGCCAAGCACTTCGTTTAATAACAATAAAGATCGCTTTTCAAGTAATTATTATCAGAATAAATCTAGACCTACCTACCAAAAGCCTAATATTTCTGCAGTTAGTGAGTCAAATAGTAAGCAAGTAATTTGTTTCAATTGCAAACAACCTAACCACACATTTTACAACTGTACCCTAAAACGGTCCATGTTTTGTTTTTCTTGTGGTAGGCCTGACGTTACAAAGACAAACTGTCCCTCCTGTTCAAAAAACCAGGGGAGAAGGCAGGCAAATTAAACCCTTGTCTGTCGCCTTTAAAGTATAAAAGGGGCAATAAAATTTTTAAATCACCAGTCAAGACAGTTTTCTTTGATGTTAAGGACTGGAAACTGTGGTTAGATAGGGTTAGGTCATTCTTTTCTATAAAAAATAATTTAGATGCTCTAGTTGAAAAAAAAACAGGCGACAACAGACCTTATGTTTCTATAAAAATTTTCGATAAGTACTTAACATATATAATTACATTGTATTATATTCCGTAATA